ACCCGGGTGGCAGTTCTACCACCCCACCTCGCGTCGTGTTCTGTCCTCACAGGACGTCACGTTTGACGAGTCGGTGTCGTACTACCGTCTCTTTCCCTACCGCACTGCCTCTCTCCCCCCCCCACTGCTCTTCCTCGCACCAGGTACTCCCCCGGTAGACCCCCTCCCCCCTCAGGGTCCTGCCCCCTCAGGTGTGTCCCAGGTAGACCCTGCTGAGCCGGTCGAGGTAGCTGTCGACTCAGGTGCTGCTAGGGGTGCTGAGCCTGTGGGTACCGAGACTGGGGGTGCTGAGTCTGGGGGTGCTGAGTCTGGGCGTGCTGAGCCTGGGGGTGTGGAGCCTGAAGGTTCTGTGTCTGGAGGTACTGAGCCTGCGCGTGCTGAGTCTGGAGGTGCTCTAGGTGTCCCGGCGTGGCGGGAGCCCCTCTCTCCACAGCGGCTTCGTGAGTGGTACTCTCGGCACTGTCGAGTTGCTGCTGGTGCTGGAGGTGCTGCTGGAGCTGCTGGAGGTGCTGCTGGTGCTGGAAGTGCTGCTGGAGCTACTGGAGGTGCTGCTGGTGCTGGAGGTGCTGGTGCTACTAGAGCTACTGGAGGTGCTGCTGCTGCTGGAGGTGCTGCTGGTGCTGGGGGTGCTGCTGGAGCTACTGGAGGTGCTGGCGCTGCTGGAGGTGCTGCTGGTGCTGGAGCTGATGGAGGTGCTGCTGGTGCTGGTGCTGCTGGCGCTGGAGCTGCTGGAGCTGCTGGAGGTGCTGGAGGTGCTGGAGGTGCTGGAGCTGCTGGAGGTGCTGGAGCTGCTGGAGCTACTGGAGGTGCTGGAGGTGCTGCTGGGACTGGAGACCCTGGGGCTGAGGGTACCGGTTCTGTCTCTGCTGTTTCTGGAGGCGCTGCGCGGCCGCGGCCGTACTACGTTCCGCTCCTTCAGCAGGTTCTTGGCTCCTCGCCTTCTCCTGGTCCTCCTCCTCCTTTCCTGAGTCCGCCGACTGTCCAGTCCCAGTCGCAGTTGCAGCCGGCCTCTCCACTGCCAGGTCCTTACTCTGGACCGACTAGAGGTCTTACGGAGCGTCGTGAGCCTGAGTCTCGTCATGTGTCGCCTGCGTCTCGTTCTGCGTCGCCTGTCCGTACTGTTCGCGCTGGTCGTGTTTCGCGTCCGCGTCTCCCTCCTGTCCCAGGCACTCACTCTATGACACTGCGTCCTTCTACTGCTTCACAACGTGTTCCTCTTTCGTCTCCTCCTGCGTCCTCTCTTCCTGACGGTCCGAACCCGGAGTCTGACTCCCTTTGTGCTGCTAGTCCTACTGTCACGCGCTTTCTGGCCACTGCTGTCACTGACCCTCTGTTTGAGTCCTCTGCTGCGTCTGCTCTTGTTGTTGAGCTTGTTGACTTTGCTGCCGCCTGTCGCCTAGACTACGCCACTAGTCTTGTTGCTGCGTCGGGGTCTGTGTCTGTCTGTCCTCCGTCCGTCGGGGGTGAGTGTGCTCTTGGCATGGACATTCTTGAGGACAGACAGGAGGAGTTTGAGTGCTTTGCTTCTTCTGTACCTCATCTCGTGTCCATGCTGCTGGCCCCTGAGGGAGACCCGGATGCACTAGACATCCCGACCCCGCGCTCTTACGCAGAGGCGATAGAGGGTCCCTACTCCTCTCAGTGGCAGGCAGCCATGGACGCAGAGATGGCTTCCTGGAAGTCCACAGGCACCTACGTAGACGAGGTTCCCCCACCTGGGGCGAACATCGTCAGTGGCATGTGGATCTTCAGGGTGAAGCGGCCGCCGGGTTCTCCGCCTGCCTTCAAGGCGCGTTACGTTGCACGTGGCTTCAGTCAGCGACAGGGAGTTGACCTCTTTCAGACCTTCTCCCCTACCCCGAAGATGACCACTCTTCGGGTACTGCTGCACGTTGCTGCTCAGCGTGACTACGAGCTCCACTCGCTTGACTTCAGCACAGCCTTCCTACAGGGCAGCCTGCACGAGGAGATCTGTCTGCGCCGCCCACCTGGCTTCACTGGGTCGTTTCCTACTGGTACCCAGTGGAGCCTCCGGCAGCCAGTCTACGGTCTCCGCCAGGCACCCCGTGAGTGGCACGACACGCTCAGGACGACTCTTGCTGCTCTTGGTTTTGCTCCTTCCACTGCTGACCCTTCTCTGTTCTTACGCACTGACACTACTCTGCCGCCGTTCTACGTTCTCGTGTACGTAGACGACCTCGTCTTTGCTACTGCTGACACTGAGGCACTCGCCTACGTGAAGTCCGAGCTGCAGAAGAGACACACGTGTACAGACCTGGGTGAGCTGACAAGCTATCTTGGCTTGTGGATCACCCGGGACAGAGCACAGCGCACCATTACCTTGACTCAGTCACACATGGTGCAGCAGGTCCTTCAGCGCTTCGGCTTCACGTACTCCTCACCACAGTCCACTCCTCTGCCTACCAATCACTCGCTCTCAGCTCCACCTTCGGACGAGTCCGTAGAGCCGAGTGGCCCGTATCCAGAGCTTGTGGGCCGCCTCATGTACCTGATGATTTGCACACGACCTGACCTCGCATACCCTCTCAGCCTTCTGGCTCGCTACGTGGCTCCCGGCAGGCACCGAAAGGTGCACTGGGATGCTGCGAAGAGGGTGTTGCGATACTTGTGCAGTACATCGGGCATGGGACTCGTGCTTGGAGGACGGGCTCGAGTTGTCCTCACTGGTCACGCTGACGCCTCCTGGGTTGACGACTTGGCTACGCAGCGGTCGTCACAGGGTTACACCTTCAGTTTTGGCTCCGGTTCTGTCTCTTGGCGGTCTACCCGCTCTTCTTCTGTTCTCAGCTCCAGTTGTGAGGCTGAGATCTACGCTGGGGCCATGGCTGCACAGGAGCTACGCTGGCTTACCTACCTGCTGACCGACTTGGGAGAGGCGCCTCGTTCTCCTCCAGTTCTGTACGTCGACAACAAGGCCATGCTGGCCTTGTGTCAGGAGCACAGACTGGAGCACAGAACGAAGCACATTTCTCTGCGCTACTTCCTTGCTCGAGAGTTGCAGCAGCGTGGCCAGCTTCGTCTTGCTTACGTGGCCTCTCAGGCCAACACTGCTGATGTTTTCACCAAGGCACTTCAGCCTTGTGATCATCAGTGTTTCTGTACTGTGTTAGGCCTTGTACCTACTGTGCCTCACTTGCTTTCTTCTTGACTCTGCTTGTACTGTACTCTTTATACATATACCTGCATGCTTACTCTTGCTAGGTTTTGTTCTGTTTATTGTTTGTTCTCATTTATATAACTCTGCATATGAACTGGCCTTGTGGCCATTTGCTTGTGCTCAAACTGCGTGGTGACTTTGTGATCCACCCTGAGCTTGCTTTGCCTTTCTTGACTGGTCTTGTGACCTCTTGTTCTCCCCCACTTTGCCTATGGGGGTGTGTCAAACTTATACATACTATAGTCTGTTTAGGCTGTAGTGGGGTAGTCCTTAGAAGGTACAACACTTTTGTGTTTTCTACTTGTACCTTTCTCATTTCTAGTTCATTCATTTTCCTCTCGTTATTCTCACACGATCCTCAATTATAAGCGCACCCCCTTAAAAAACATGATTTATTATAAGCGCGTGTTAGTTTTCAAACTGAAAAACTGTCAAATTACTGTAACGAAGTTCACTTTAGGAGGCGATGAGTTGAAAATCAGATTTCCTTCACGTTCAAACCCTGCACAGGCTGCGCATCCGGTCAGCACGTGCTGTCAGAAGCTCCTGGTGACTCATTTTGAGTGTAGGTGCTGGCAGGAAATCTTTCTCTGCCAAGTAGCGAGAGTTTTCCACCCAAAACCCTGTTTCAAATCGACTCGATTGGGTGCGCAATGACGCGAACTACATTTTCGTGCTAGTAGTTTAAAATTGTATATTGTTATTTTATAAGCGCATGCGCATATATTTTTAACTCAATTATAAGCGCACCCCCCTGAAAAAACATGTTTTATTATAAGCGCAGGTGCGCTTATATCCGGGGTGATACGGTATGTGAGAGCAAGAGATTGATTATAGCAAGGTAATACAAAGGCTTTTATAAGATTACAAAGAATACGAAAAGGTGCAATTAACTGTTTTGCTGTTGCGGTTCGATACAGTGACGACTCGGGCAACTGCTCAATACCGAGTCAGCTGTTTGTCCTTGCTGTCGTGCTCTATTTTGTCGAGTCAAAGTTAGCTGACCTTGACCTTCGCGTAACCTCCTAGGTTGACTAGCCTAGTTTGATTAGCCTAGTTTGTAGTATTGTTTCGACACAAGAGGAGCGTTAAATTGCTTGTTTCCAACATACCCCAGGACAGACTAGCAAGCACAAATGCAATTTGACAAATCCATCTCACACCTCGTGACGTGGCGTTCAAGCGACATACAGCACACCTGGGCGATGGGTACTCTCCTTCGGCAAATAACCTGGGCGATGGGTACTCTCCTTCGGCAAATAAGCTGGGCGACATGCGACGAACCGGGCGAAAATGTGCGGCGCGAATCTTGAAGATGATCCAATTTCAGACATTCAAATTTAGATGCAAATTCAGGTTGATCATTCGAAGTTCAGGGTGCAAGGCCATGAGGACTCTCTGTCGCAGATACAGGTTGCACAAGGTCTCCTTGTCCAAACTCCATGGAGCACCTGATTTCACCTCACGGCTTTCATGCCCAGCAAAAGATAACGAGCACGTATAATTCTGTACTGAAGAGAAAATGAATGGCTGGCGAAGCAGAAAACAGGCAGAATCAAACGAACGAACCGTGACATGAAAAAGTCTAATGGCAAAATCGGAACCAGGCGGTCAAGAACTGGCTAGGGTTTAATAAAAGGTTAATACAATTACAAAAATTGGTACAAACACAGCGGCACTTGGCACAGCCAGACAATGGCAGACCACGTCTTATTCAAAAAGTGTCATGCGCCCAATCGGCCGGCCAGCCACACTCCAGCAGAGTGAAGAAACGATGAAAAATCGCCACTCAGTCCCACCTAATTTAAAGTCCATACACGGCTTACACAGCCCCGCCGCTGGAGTCACCGGCACTGGGGCCCTTCTCAGAGCCCTTGACGATGCTGTCCATGTTGCTGAGAGCCTTGGGGTCTGAGGAAGCCTTGCCTGACGCGCGGTTCTCCCAGTCCTTCTGACCGGCGAGGGTCGTCGACGTGGTAACATCCACCCACGTTTTCGACGCCGCGATGTTCGCAATGATTTTCGCGTACAGTACCGTAACGGTATCCCTCATCGCCTTGACCTTGTCAACCTGGGTCACCCGGGCCTTGTTCACCGCCGCGCGAACCTGAGCCAGGGAGGCGTCCGCCGCGTTGAGCGCCTGCTTCGCCGCGTCGTACGCCTGCTGGGCGGTAGAAGCATCCGCAACGGCAGTCGCAAGATCCGCGTCGGCCGTCTCCTTTGCCGTCTTGATGGTGCCTTCCTCCGTCGTCGCATCGTCGGACGCCTTCGTCGCGTCCGCGCTGAGTGTGGCGGACGCATCCTTGAGGTCCGCCAGAGTCTTCAAGTGCACTTCCCACCCGCTTGCGACCTTCTGTGCGACGGCCACTGCGACGGCCTTCTCTGCGGCTGCCGCACGGGTTGCGCTGCTTGGGTCGGACTTAGCCGCAGCATTCGCGGCATCGACGGCGTCAAGAGCGGCGGTGAGAGCGTCAGCGGCGGCGGCGGAACCCGTCTCGGCAGCGCCAGAAGCAGCGATGACTTGCGCATCCAATGCGGTAACCGCGTCGGAGTATTTCTTCGCACTCGCGGACCGCGCACTTGCGGCCTTGAGCTTCTCCGCGAGACGCGCCTGGAGTGCCTTCTTACGATCAGCATTGAAGTTGGCCTTGGGAAGATCGGATACGGACGTCGCGAAAGTGTCGGCTGCGGTGTCGTAATTTGCGAGGGCCGTCTCCTCCTCGGTTTCCTTGGTTGCGGAGGCGGCAACCGCGTCGTCGGCCTTGGCTTTGAGCTGCGTCACGAGGTCCTGGCTGTATGAGACGGCGCCCTTGGCCTTTTCCGAGGCTTTTACTGCGTCAGAGAGCGACAAGGTGTTGGAGCTCCCTTTCGAGCTCCCCTTGGGGCCGCCCCTGCGCAGAGCCGCATCTGCGCCTGAAGTTATAAGGAGAAGCCCGAAGAGGGCAAGGAGGATTGTGCGAGCCATTGAAGTGGTCGAGACTGCCAGTTGTGAGGTTGTGGTTAGTAAAACTTGTCGATGCTAGACGATGAGTGACTGAGTTGAAGCTAGGGAGCTGATTACTGAAAGAAAATAAGAGTATTTTGGAGCCGGGTTGGCCGGGTGAGGGGAGCAGATGGTTGTGGATGGGTTTGGCCGTGTTGTTGGCCAGATGTCACAAATATGTTTTGCCTCGAGACGCATGTTTGGTCTGTTTTGTGTCGCGTTGTTCAACCAATGAATACGATGACAATAGCGTTGCAAAACGACAGCACACGAACTCCTGAGAAGGTGCCTGATAATACCACCTGCACAGTGCTTCCCATATGCCCAGCTGTTCTGAAGGGCCGTTGGCTTTGAAAGTTTTGCATATGGCAGAAATACACTTTCTGATAACTCTGTTGTGGTAAACGCTCCCGCAGTTTTCATAAAATTTGGGCGACAGCTTCCTTTTCATGCCCTCTACCTGCGAATTCGTCTGGAATAATTTGTCACCTCACGTCAACTGAATGCGCATCCGTGCATCTGACAGCCAACAGCCCTATGACAAAACTGTATGGTCAATGCCACATGTTGCTGAGACCAATTTCTGGAAGGTGTCAGGGAGGGAGCTGAAAGAAAACATTTTTTGTGTTAGGGTGGGCAGCAGATATTGTATGGTAAACTGTAAACTGTAAACTGTACTGTCCATGTCAATACACGCATCACCACGTTTCAGCGAGCCTCGCTTGGGAGGAAGCTAAAAGTAACTGGTGTAACCATTATTAGTAAGTTATCGCCCAGCAGTATCACCAGAACTCAAAATGCTAACTGAGCTGCGTGCAGGCCCAACAAGGCGATGGAGCGAAAAAAGTAGGCCGGAATTTGTTGCCAATTCTCAACACATGGAAAGTTGTAAATAATTTTCCCGAATTCCTTATCGGGGTTGACTGCTTCACGTACAGCCCCGGTCTTCTGACTCTGCACGTTTGGCCGACATCAACGATGCCGAGCCTCCTCGCGTCGCTTTCGGCATTTCCCCTCGCCAAACTTGCACCCAACCTAGCAAGCCTAGTCACTATATTAGCGTGTGCCTTCATTGTATGATCAGTCTGTTCAATCACATTCTCGTTATTCGTTAACCTGCGCACTCTCCTTTACAACTCATAACACCTGGTATCAGAGCTAATTTCCTAGTTCATCCCACTTTTCGAGGGTAGTTTGGTGGCACGGGTTGGCTGGTATAAGTGGACTACACGACGGTTGGCCGCAGGGTTTGTTAATTCAAACCTGCCCGGCTCCGATAGTTAGTGTTTTCCACTTCGCCTGAAGGCCACGGAGACCCGCTTGCCCACCCGACGCAGTGCTTGACACATGGATCAGAAGGTGGTTAACAGACTCATGGCGCAAGTGGCAGAAATGCAGGAGGGTATGAAATCATTAATGGCGGAAGTGACAACACTACGTGGAGAAAACGCCGAGCTACGCCAGGCGCGAGGTGAAGCGCGCCAGGAGTCGCCCGATGACGAAGGCGAGGGCAACAGTCAAGCGGTGAGCAACCCGTTGGACGCGCTCACACGTGACTTCGAAGAAGAAGACAGGCAGCGAGCGGCATCAGCACCAGTTGCAGTAACGACGATCAAGATTAAACCCGTCAACCCGCCCCCGTTTAATCCTACGGACAAGACGACTACAGTGAAAGGGTGGTTGTTCAGAGTTGAAGTCTTTTTCACTGCAGCAGGTGTGAACGATGATGCCATGCATAATAATTATGCTGTTTCCCTTCTCCGAGGCGCAGCGCTTGAGTGGTGGCGCCGAACCCTAGAAACGGGGACCCTGACAAGTGTGACACATGCGGCAGACGGGACCTCAACAGTGACTAATCAAGTGGCACAGTCGATCTTCGGAGTGACCAAGATACGCACGTGGAAAGAGTGGGGCGCAGCCTTACGAGATCGCTTCGAGCATGTATCTGCCTCGGAGCAAGCTCGCATGAAGCTGCGTGCCTGGTCGCAGATGGCATTTATGGGCCTCGCCGACCAAATGGATGACATGTCGGAAGCAGAGCGGTTGGATAAGTACATCAGCGGCCAAATATATGAGATTCAATATGAGGTCCGCAAGAGCCGCCCGACAACATTCCTGGAAGCAGTACGGCTGGCGGAGTCATCTGATGCGCTGATGCAGTATGCGAGAGCAGCTTCCCGGGAGGGAATCCGCTTTCGTGGCCAGACCCATCGGGCCACGATCAACGCCGTCCATACACCCGACCGCCCTCCTAAGGGACCGTGATATCGGTGTGGGAAGACGGGTCACTTAATGCGCGACTGCCACGAGAAAACGCCGCTGACGGGGAACGACAGGAAGGAGCAGGGAAATGGGAAAAGTCAGTAAGTAGCGGGCCCTTCACTGACTGTGCTCCGTCGCCCGAACACCACCATCCCCACCGAGTCATGGTTCCGATTCACGCAATCGATCGCACTCGGCCGAATAACGGGGATACTCATGTGGATCACCCAGTGCTGGTCGCTGGCAAGGTGTTAAAAAATAACTTTAAAATGTTCGTCGATGGAGGGGCCAGCCATAGCCTCTTCAACTTGGCGACAGCAAAAAAATGCAAGCTGCAACTTGACAGGTGTCTGCCCGAAATTGACGCTCGCCTCGTGGATGGGACGCCTCTGGCGTTACTGGAAGAAACACGGACGGTTCGGATCGAATGCGGCGACAATTTCGGCTTCAGCATGAAGTTCTTCGCGACAACACTGGACGGCTGCGACGTACTATTGGGACGCGATTGGCTGCGATGGCACAACCCCGTCATCGACTGGACAACGGGATCGTGCTGCATCAACAAGCACGAGGGGCTAATTAAAATGCCGGCATGGACACCTGACTACATCCAAGCCCCGTGCGTCAAAGCTATCACTATAGCTCGACACTTCAACAAGGGCACACAACTGTTCGCTGTTTGCTTACGCGAGTTGACGGTGGACACCGACGGAAAGGACATCGAGAAGTTGTGTACAGCTATACCACCGGACTTAGCGGAGCTGATTCGGCAGTACCCCGACATCTTCCCCGACGATATGCCACCTGGACTACCACCCGAGAGACCTGAGGACCACAAAATCCAGTTGGAACCTGGAGCGCAGCCGACTGTGTCAGAACATTATAGCTTTTACATTTGTGTAGGCTATAGTGGGGTAGCCCATAAGGGGTACAACCCAATTAGGGTTAGTACTTGTACCCAACACTTTGCTAGTTCATCCATTCTCGTTCATTATTTTGACATGCTTTCAGAGCAGGTCCTTCGCTAGGACAAAAAAAAAAATCCTTGGGCCCACCACTACCCTGCCCCTAGGCTCGTCGCCCCTAGGCCCGTTGACCCTAGCCTACACGCCCGGCCCGTCGACCCTAGCCTACGCGCCCGACCCCGTCGGCCCCTAGCCCAGCGCCCGGCCCCGTCACTAGCCCGCGCCCGGCCCCGTCGGCCCCTAGCCCCGCGCCCGGCCCCGTCACTAGCCCGCGCCCGGCCCCGTCGGCCCTTAGCCCCGCGCTCGGCCCCGTCACTAGCCCGCGCCCGGCCCCGTCGGCCCCTAGCCCCTAGCCCCTAGCCCGGCCCCGTCACTAGCCCGCGCCCGGCCCCGTCGGCCCCTAGCCCCGCGCCCAGCCCCGTCACTAGCCCACGCCCGGCCCTGTCGGCCCTTAGCCCCGCGCCCGGCCCCGTCACTAGCCCGCGCCCGGCCCCGTCGGCCCCTAGTGTTAGAATTGGTAGCATAGTTGGGAGGAGCAAGCTTAGGAGCCATGGCTAGGGTGTGAAGCTAGGCATGACTGTCGAGAGAAAAGTCGAGAAGGAGAATGATTTCATTATAAAAAGTGGAGTACAAATAGGGTAGGAAAGGTGAGTACACCACCAAGCAGGAAGTTAGGATAACTACACTAAGGCTAGAACTACATGCAGTTATAATATAATTCAGACATTCCCCCTTAACTGCATGCAGGAAGAGCCAAGTGCTAGACACAACCTGCAGGGGTACACCAAGCATAACAAAGCAGCAGCACGCAAGAGCAGTGACAACCAGTGCAATTGTGACAGATACAGTTGCAGCAACCCCGCAGCCAAGGTAGAAGCAGCAGAAACAGGAGCGTGCGGCGGCAAGGGCGGCGACACAGCAGCAGAAGGTGCATGTGGCGGCAGGCCGCCTGGAGAGCAGGAGCGTGCAGCACAAGCGGTGGCGGCACAGCTGGGCTCAACGGCAGCACCTGCCGCACAACAACAACAAAAAGTAAAGACAAGCAAAGTGGCGACCGGGGCTGCAGCTGGAGGTACCACTGGAGCAGAGGGTGGCAGTTGCAGATGAGGGGGGGGCTTGCTTCGTCCGCCACACTCTGTCGTCCCCCCTTAACCGCTCTCATCCCCCCTACACCTCTCCCCCCCCCCCCCCCCCGCCCCCACACAGCAACATGTGCAGCAGTGGGAGAGAGAGGAGGAGAGGCGGCAGCAGGTCACCCACACCTGCCAACCCCATACCCTCCCCCCACTGCTGCACCTGCAGCAGGGGGATGGAGGAGAAGGGGGGGGGGGCGGGGGGGGCTGGTGCTGCAGGTCCCCTCCCCCCACTGCTGCACCCGCAGCAGGGGGACGGGGGGGTTTGGTGCTGCAGATCCCCTCCCCCCCACTGCTGCACCCGCAGCAGAGGGAGGTAGGAGAAGGGGGGGGGGGGAGGGGGGTGGCTGGTGCTGCAGATCCCCTCCCCCCCACTGCTGCTCCGGCAGCAGGGGGAGGGAGGAGAAGGAGGGGGGCGGGGGGGGGGCTGGTGCTGCAGATCCCCTCCCCCCCACTGCCGCATCCGCAGCAGGGGAATGGAGGAGAAAGGGGGGGCTGGGGGGGGCTGGTGCTGCAGATCCCCTCCTGCCTCCCCCTGAACCTCCAAGCCCCCCCCCCCCCCCCCCCCTCCCAACACAAGGTGTGGCAGGGAGAGAGAGAGGATGAGGCGTGGCGGCAGCTGCTACTGCTGAGGCACATCCGCCACCCCCTCACACCCTCTCCCCCCCGTCCCCATGGAGGGGGGTGAGGGGGGCGGGGGCGGAGCTGCTCGTGCGACTGCAGGGCACGCGGGCAGTAAGAACCCCCTCTTGCCACCCCCTTACCCACCATGATGCGACAGGGCACCGGGGCCGCGGCTAGGGGCGACAGGTCGCGAGGGGCCGTGGCTAGAGGCGAC